AGGGGAAGGAAAGCATCCACTGCCCACCCCCTGCCACCCACAGGACAAACACCAGTGCCACCCACATGGGCAGCAGGGCTCAGCCACAGCTGCCAACCTGCAGGAGAAAGGAATGGAAGTGCCAACAAGTGCCATGTTGTGTCTGCAAATGAACATTTTCACATTGGTCGGATGCCAAGCCAAGCTCATGGTGGAATTCAGGACCTTCTTTGCACTGATCCTGTGGAGTGGTTTGTTCCCCTCTTTCTTCTAAGCAGCTGCATCTTCAAAGCAGAAGCAGGGATGGATCAGCTGGTGAGGGGAGCAGGACCTTGCAGGGATGTGTCTGCAGGGCAGCTCGTGGGGCAGGCAGCAGTGTCCAACCAGAGCATGGCTGGACCCTGCGGAGCAGCCCCACAGGGCACGAAGCTCCAGCAGCAACTGGTTTGGCTCAGATGCAGAATTCCCCTCGAGGACAGCCCAACCTCTGGCACACACAGCCTTGATGCCAGCACAGCAGATCCAAGGGAAGGCAGGTGGGAGCTCCTGCACATGTGCCCAACACCAGATGACTGACTGTCGTGTCCTCTTGCCCAAGGCAAACTGGGACCAGCGATGGGAGGAGTGGGGCTGCTCACCACTATCGCGGTGTGATTCCCAAGGCCAGGATGGTGGGACACACTCAGTGCTTCCAAATGGGATTCTCCTTGCCCATCCCAGCCCTAATGACTTCCAGGCACACCCTGCAGTGCGTGTGGCTGCTGGTACCCACACGAGCTGCTGAGCAGAGCTGGATGTGAGGAGCTCAGAAAATGACTCTGTCCTCCTGTGTCCTGTCCCACCACAGGGTGCTGTTCAGGGTGCCAAAGCTGCTGTCCTCCTCCTCCTGCTCTTTAGCAAGCTCCACAAAAACCTGCAAGACATAGAAAGCACATAGAATCATAGAATCAACCAGCTCAAGAATCTTCGGGGCCAGCCCGACCATGGTTACTAGGCCATGTCACTAAGTGCCCCATCCTGTCTCATCTTGAAACCCTCCAGGAATGGTGAATCTACCCCCTCCCTGGGCAGCCCATTCCAATGCCTGATCATTCCTTCCATAAAAAAATCTCTCCCTAATATCCAACCTAACCCTTCCCTGGCAGAGCTTGAGTCTGTGTCCTCTTGTCCTGGTTGCCTGTGATGAATACCATGAGCTCCTTGCAGGAACATTCTCGGCCACAAACAGAACTCATGCTAAAAACCTCACCTGTACTGAATGTAATTCTTCATCTCTGAGTAAGAGCTTAGTATTTAAGGCTTTTTCTCCTTGCCCTTACCCTCCCACCTCATTTCTTCAAGAGCACAATGAAGAGGAAGCTGAATCAAGCAAGCTGAAGGACATTAATTGTCAGCAGTAACTAATCTAGAATAAGCAGCAGCAAGTCTCAGCTTCACCCTCCTTCCAGCCAGGAACAGCAATCCCTGTCCTTGGAATAAATCATAGCAGCTTTTCCATTAAATGCTACAAATTTATTTTGCTGCAGTCACTGCAGTTGGCATCTTGTTTTTAAAGGAGAAAATGGGAATAAAGAAGAGCAGGGAAGTGGCAGTTGTGATTCACTTGGGGAAAAAAGGGAATTCAGTTTCCCTAAAAGGCCCAGTGGCCTCAAAGTCAGGTGTGGGGCATGAGCTGCCTGCACAGGGCTCATCATCATAGAATTATGGAATGGGTTGGGTTGGAAGGGATATAAAAGATCATCTAGTTCATCCCCTGCCCTGGGCAGGGACACCTTCCACTAGCCCAGGTTGCTCCAAGCCCCATCCAACCTCCTGGCAGGGTTTCTTTCCACAGAACCTGAACTGACATACCTGTTCCAGTGTTGCCTGAGAAAAGCTGTACTCCTCGATGTTGAAAGCATGTTTCACTGTGCAAAGAATCAATGAGAGCAGATTTAGGGATACTTTAACATCTCACACAATTAGATTTAAAGCATTTTAAGCTGCTACAGGAGTTTTCATTGCACAAGCAACAGAGTCAGAGACAACAATAATAATAGGGAAATGAATTTGGAAGAGAAATGGAGAAGTGACATTGCTTGGCAAATGTGTCAGGTATGGGAGACAAAAGGATTTATCTACGTGATCTATGAAAAGGGCTTCATTACCTTCTTCCAGCTTGGAAAAAGAATGTGAAAGTGACTGTACATCTTCTTTAGGAATTTTATATGCCAAAATAGAAGCAAAACTGGAAGAAAGAAAATTACATTTAGCTTCAAGCAAAATTACCTCAAAGAAAAAATATTAAAGATGCAATTGAATGGATTTAAACTCATTTTCTAAAGGTTATTCCAGACATTTTAACTAGTCATGATCATACAAGACAAGAGATGCTGGTCCAGGTGTATCAGATCCTCCTGAGACTGTTCATGCTCTTCAACTTAGATTCAACTATTTATACTCTGCTTACTCATGAAAGATTTGCTGCCTGGAACTCCCAAATTTCTGAGCTTTTGCTTTTCAAATGAAGTCAGAGGCCACAGGATCTCCTGGAACTGTGCATCACACAGTTTCCTCAACCCAGATTCCAGAAGAAGCTGCTCTGCCCCACACATCTGCTGACAACAAACCCTCCTCCCTCCACACCTCCCACATCTGAGGGATACTCCTTGCACAATGCCTGCAGGGCCCTTTTTGGAGACTCAGCAGCAGCCACTGAGCCAGACCCTTGAGTTCATAGGGCAGAAAATCAAAGCCATTGGAGGAAAACCAACCAGACCATCCTGAAACTCTGAGGTCCCTCCAGAGAACACTCAGATATTTCTAGGTAAGGGCCAGTGGACTCTGACTCTGATTTCACCCAGTTCCCATGGGTCCTGACCGAGGAGGAAGTTGTCAGGCAACAGTTATTCACAAACTGAGTTTTGTTTCCTCCATGCTGAACATCTGCACGTGGCTCTGGGCCACCACACCCTGGCAGCTTGGGCCCTGCTGGCTCCAAACCCTTCCTCTTTTTTTTCTCCATCCTAAGCTGTGTGTAAACATTTGCTTTCCTTCCTCAGTGTCAAGGAGCTGCTGAGAAGTCAGGGCCATCTATTCCCATCAGTGCTCTGTGCAGATGTGTCAGACCTCACCTTTCCTGGCGGTTGGCATTGGGGAAGATGTGCAGGATCTGGCTCTGCAGGTACTCCAACTGCTGCTCCTCTTCTGTTTCTTTTAATTTCATTTCCAAGAAGTATCCTCTGCCAAACTTACTCTTCAGGTGTTGGACAGTACCTATACACCTACCAATTGCAGAGAGAAAAAAAATAAATAAAATGAGCTGTACATGTTACATCTCACTCAGGAACAGCCTAAGCTCCAGCAGATCCTTTTTGCAGTCTAAGATTAATTTGGCTCCAAATTTAAGGTCCAAAAAATTTCTACCTATATTTTCAATGGAATATATTGAGCTGTGCTGCTCTCCCTGTGCCAGGAGATGCTCTGGTGGTACCTGAGCTGCCCAGACACCAGGATGGCCACACGATCACAGACAGCATCTGCCTCCTCCATGTAGTGAGTGGTCAGGATTGCTGCTCTCTCCTTGTTCTTAAATGCTGCACGAATGGCTTTCCTACAAAACACAACCAAAACCAGCCCTGAATAACACATTGGGCAGGTAAGAGTCCTAGGTTAGCAGGAAAAGAGGCTTATAATGGTCAAAATCAATTCAAGCCTGAACTCCTTATATTATTTTAAAGATTGTTTTCAATTTCCAAGCTTTTCCATCTCTCAGCTATTCAGGGAGACAAAGATGAATGTGCTCTTGGCACTGAAGTTGGGATGATTCCTCCCCTCTTGTGAGACCTCACCTGGAGTACTCTGGTGGAGTGGAGCACCTCTGCCATGGAGACAGAGCTGGGGGTGTTCAGCCTGGAGAAGAGGAGGCTCTGGGGAGATCTCAGAGCCACTTCCAGTGCTTCAAGGGGCTCCAAGAATGCTGGAGAGGGACTTTGGACAAAGGTCTCAAGGGACAGGGCAAGGGGGAACAGATTTCACCTGGCAGAGGGCAGGGCTAGATGGGATATCAGGGATGAATCCTTCCCTGTGAGGCTGCTCCATCCCTGAAATTTTTCCAGGCCAGGCTGGATGGGACTTGGAGCAACTTGAGCTCATGAAAGGTGTCCCTGCTGATGGCAGGGGGTGGAACAAGATGAGCTTTATGGTCCCTCCCAACCCAAACCATTCCACAACCAGGATTCCCTGTCTATGTCTCTCCCTAGTGTTAAGACAGATAACACACACATAAAATCAGGCTAATTCCCAAGCAGGAAGGTCCCTGTGGCCTGCATGGCCCTGGTGCACTCACCACATGTGCTGCTTGGCTTTGGGATCCATCCCTGTCGACGGCTCATCCAGCAGTGTCACCCGTGGGTTGCCCAACATGCTCAGGGCAAAGCAGAGCTGGGAGGAGGGCAAAGGGGCATGGTGAGGACAGGATGGGTGCTGTGCCCCCCCTGCCACAGGTGCTCAAACAGCATCCCCATACCTTGCGTTTCAGCCCCACTCCCAACTTCTTCGTCGTCTTCTGCAGGTGATCTTTCAAATCCAGGGCACTGGCCACACTGTGGGAGGAGGAGAGCCAGGGCTGAACAGCTGAGAGGGTGATGGCTCAGCTTCCCCCTCACCACAGCATACAAACAGCCCCATTTGAAGAACTCAGTTCCAAAGATTTGTATATAAAGTATTAAAATCTGCACACAAAACCCCCTGGGCTCCATGTCCCAGAGGAGCCTGTGATGGCAACCCAGAAATACCTCCAAGCCTGGGACT